TCGGCGCGGGTCCGCCGGGGTGCGCCCGCCTCGAACCCCGTGCCGGCTCCGCGCGGGGCCTGGCGGCCGGGCGGTGAAGGTTGTGGATTCAGGAGTCACCTCGGTACCGCTCGTCCGTCTCTGGCCCGAGGCATGGGGTGGGTGCTGGGAATTAGCGAAGAAGGCAGGCCAGGAGCACCGCCATTAACCCTTGTCGGTGCAGCCAACACTTGAGTGCGCGGCCCTGCTACGGGGTTCCGCAGGGAGCAGGGTCCCACCCCCGCCGCAGACAAAGTCACAAGGGTATAACGCAATTCAGTGTTAGGGTCGGTTGGCGCCCGAAGTGATAAAAAACTGGGGCTGGAATAACTGACCAGGGGAAGCTTCCTATGGGATGGTGGAATCGAACTAGGTTTTCGGAAAGAAATGAAATTTAAATAAGAGTTCGAGAAAGGTCGTACTGGGGGGATGTCAGGAGTGAAAGAGGCGGTTTCAAGGGACGTCACCTCCCTACCCCCAACCTGAGAGAATTTGGAAAGGGCCATACAAGGTAAAACCTTGCATAACAAATCTAGGAATTTGAACCTGCCCTGTGCTAGCACTTAGAAAAGAAATATTGAAAGTTTTTGACTAAGAGACAGAAAGGATTTAAAAGTGATGTTTACCCAAATACTGGTCATTAATTTGGCTCTAAATTGAAAGAGTCAGGTAGGTCATCCTAGTGTGGTTCAAAGCAGGGGGGACAAGGGGTGAGAAGGTAAGAGGTGGAAATCCAGGGGAAGTGAACCTAAAAGGTACTACGATGGAAGAAGAAACCAGCCCTGAAGACGAGTTGGACAGTGAGGCAAAGGAGAAATGAAGATAAACTGGGAAGCCCAGGGGACTGCACCGGTGGTGCTTTCAGACTAGGGAAGAGGGCCTTGGAGTTGGCTATGTGTTTGATGTCAGGCCTGTTAACACCATAGGGCCAACAGGACATCCTTGTTTCCTGCCAGCAGCTAAAATTAAGGACCTGGAACCTAGTTTGAAATCATTTTGCCCAGTAAACAGCAACGTTTAGAGGGTGTGAACCCTGAATCAGCAGAAAACAGGCACATATAGCAAACAAAACACTTTCTGAGCATCAAGTTTTTGATCTACTCATAGCACTTTTCCTGTTTGTTTATTTATTTACTTTTAATTTTATTTATTTATTGGTACCGGGGGTTGAACCGGAGGCAGGATAGAAGAAATAGAGATTGGTAGATGACCAGGATGGTGAGGCAAGCTTGTAATCACAGCACTTGGGAGACTGGAGCAGCCTGGAGCCTGAGGCCAGCCTAGGCTGCGGAACAAAACCCTGTCTCAAAAAAAAAAAAAAAAAAAACTTAATTAATTAATAGTTAAAGGTAATAAAAAAGAGACAAGGAAAATAATAACCAAAAATGACACATTTGTCAAGCATGGTGGTTCAGCCTGTAATCTGAGCACTCAGGAGACAGAGGCAGGAGGATTTCCTGAGTTTGGGGCCAGTCTGGGCTGCATAGTGACTTCAAGGCCAATTTGAACTACACAGAGACAGCGTATCTCAAAAAAAGTTTTACTAAAAATTGTACTTTTTGCTGGGTGGAGAAGTCAGAAAAAAAAAAAAAAAAAAGAGTATGAGCCAGATCCTAAGACAAATTGAGAGAATTCCAAAAATGCTTAAATTATCCATCTTTAATATCAAAATAAGTGGGCTCATAATGGTAAAATTGGCCCATTCTCTTCTGGGTGGTGGGCCACCTTTTCTTAGCATTTCCACCCTATCAAGGGAAGCATAAATGTTCCCACTACTAGGAAATAACGCACCCTTCTCTCTCTAAATGCCTGCATTTCACTCTTGAATGTGTGGTTTTAAATTTGCCCCCAACAAATCTTTCCTGTGCCTGAGTCGAATTTGCTTCAGTTTTCTGCACTGATGGGAAGTGTCTCTGGTTTTCTCCAGAGTTGTTTCTGGGATTGAGGGTGCTGTGGGCTCCTTCTAGATATGCTGTCTAGGTTCTTGTCCTGAACAAAGAATTGATCAAGAAAAGTACAAAAGGTAGCAAGGTTTTACACTTATTAAAAGTATTGCTGGGCATGGTGGCACACGCCTGTAATCCCAGCACTCGAGAGGCTGAGGCAGGAGGATCGTTGCGAGTTTGAGACCAGCCT